TTTCTATTCACGTAGATGAGATGAGGTGCGATGACGTGATAAGATGTGACGTGATTTTATGTGATGTGATAGGATGTCATGTCATGTGTTGTCATATCCTCTGATGTCATGTCATATGATGTCATACCATATGATCTCATATCATGTAATGCCACGTCATATAATGCCATGTGATGTCATACGATGTCATATCATGTGATGTCAAGTCATGTGATGTCATGCCATATAATGTGATGTCATATCATATAATGTCATGTCACGTGATATCGTGTGATGTGATATCATATTATGTGATGCAATATCATGTGATGTCTCTTCATATCATGTGATAAAATGTGATGTCATGTCATGTAATGTGATCACATTCCATGTTCCGATTAGTGTATCGATAACCCTGTTGATAACTGTGTTGATAAAAATACCCATAACAATATCCATACACATATAGAAAAATACAACGATTGTAAAATCCATTAATTCAGCGATAAATATAACAATCATCAGTACCGATTATTTACATATCGTTAACAATATAAGTGACTAAATCGATAACAAAATCAATTATTTAATCGATTATTATACCGATAACAATAGCCATTATTGTATCGATAACTATACCGATTATTATATTGATTATTATATCGATTACAATAGCGGTTATTTAATTAATAACAGTATCGATAACAATATCGAGTTTTATATCAATACCAATNCATCTATACACAATTCGAAAATGTTTAAACGACGGTTTTGGCCGTAATTTTCAACCAATTGTGAAACCATAAAAACTCTGCTCATCTACGGAAAAATGCCTTTTGAAATCGGTTCGGTAGAATCGCCAAACGAACGGTGACAAAATTTATGTTAGCGTATTAATATATAGATACTTCAGCCTAAAAAATCTGGTTTTAAGATAAAGTTTGCTGAAAGAAATGTCTTTGACCAAACGACTATAACTTCATTACGAGCCCCTTTTTTACTTAAGATAATGTTTTCTAAAATATCGTTTACAATATAATGAATGGAAATTTAACTTTTGTTTTCTAGCTTCAAATAATGATATCAAAATCTACTACAGCTGATTTGCTAAAAATGTATTACAAACTGGAAGAATTCTTCACTCAGCAATTCAAGTCCTCGAAGCGTGTATTTTCCAGCCTTGAGCCGCGTTTGCATGAGCGCAATGCTAGCATGAAGCGCAGACAGAATCGTGACAAGAAGAAAACCTCAACAAATGGAGGTGCTGATGCGGCAACTAATATACCCGACCTCAGTAATACCGACGCTCGCCATCATCGTCACTGGCAGAAACCATTGGAACAGGCTATCGGCTTAGTAGTACCTACTCTGGTGACACGGCTACCACGCAATGGCAATGTCCTCGGTGGCACTGTGGAGCTGCATGGTAATAACATTTCTTTGGCTTGCTTCCATGGTATCAACTTCAAGTCAAAATCTTGGGCTTTGTTCAGTTTAAAATCCCCCTCTATAAATTTTGCTACTGAAGCGCATCAAGCGCAGGATACACATGATGTGTTTGTAACGCAGACGCTGACGTCTTGCTTGGGGCAGTCGACGGAGGTGCAACAGCAAAATCACTCCATGGCTATAGTTAGCAGAATTACACGCAATATAATCTTTCCACCGCAGTTCAAAGCACTTAATGAGTGGTTCCACTATGCATTCGCTAATAGCGAAATTGATTGTAAGTTACTAATATTAATAAGCAAACTTTATCCTAAGTAACTTTGTTGCTCAATTGTTGTTTATTTTATAGCAGTGGATCGTTTTCCCACATTGGAGCGTGATCGTGAGATTGCTTCAAATTCCATAGAACGTAGTCGTGCCGCAGGCGCGAGTGCAAGCAGTTCCTCGAAAACGCAGGAACACAATCACAACCGTGAGGTGATCTTTGCGCTGCCAAGTTTACAGCTGAATTTCAAGACCGAACACAGACAAGGCGCAACCACACCAGAACCAAAAGGTAAATAAGATTTATTTAGAACATTAATTTGAAGCTTCTATTTAAGATACTATCTCTATTGCCTTCACAGAAATTAAGCCTGAGGTACTCTGTAGTTTTATAACAGAGTTTGATGATCACATCTTTGTGACCGTTGATGCTGATGCATTTTTCTTCCTGCACGATTTGATCACATCGTATGTTAAGGAGAAGGAGAAAATTGTATGTTGCACAAAAGTGTTATCATTTTTTCTACTTTATATAATTTTTTTTTCAGATCGGTACCCAATCGACACGTGCCGCTTCGCCAAATCTATCACAGAACTTAAAGGGTCAAGTGAAGACCTACGTCACCGACGAAATACACAAAGATACAAATAAAGCATCGTTCGGTGGTATGAATTCCGGTAGCGGTAATGGCACTACGTCCATCAATGTTTCGAGCACTACATCACACCAGAGCAGCATGCATGTCGTTAGTCACAGTAAAACGGATGTTACCGCAGCTTTTTGTGTTGACAATAGAGACGTCACTACTTTAGCATCGTCATTAACATCAACAGCGGCAGCAGTAGCTAGTTTGACTTCGACCACTGCCAGCACGGTAACGAGTGAATCGGCCAGTGGCGGATCCAAAAATGAAAATCCTATAGATTTAGAGTCATTTGTACGCGATTGGCGTCGTTTCGAATGTCAGACTTGGCATTTAGAACCAACTGTGCGACTGCTCTCTTGGGCAGGAAAATCTATTGAGCCATATGGCATTGATTACATATTGAATAAGCTTGGTTTTGCTCATGCTCGTACAACTATACCAAAGTGGCTGCAACGTGGCTTTATGGATCCGCTAGATAAAGTGCAAGCGCTAATGATGTTGCAGCTGCTGACGATGGTGCGGGAAAATAAAGTCGAAAATGCGTCAAAATCGGACTAGGCGAATTAGTTGCAGTCTAGTTCAAACCTAATTTTAGTACTATTTTTAGCAAATAAGTTATGAACGGATGGTCGTAGAACGGTATAATACGATTTCATTAGTCTTGAATGCCTTGTGTGATGAAGTTTTTGTAAAAATTTATAAATGACTTTCACGATTTCGTAAATTTTTTTTAATGTAAATTATGCAATACTCGAAGTATTATTGAAAGTGTAATATGTTTAAATATAACCCAAGGCGTATGCCTTGACATAACCTATTTTGTTCGAATTTAGTAGTATGATAAGTAAATTGTTTATTCAATTTTTTTAATAACTTTGGAGTACGTACATACGTGGCAGATTTTTATGCAACTTTTTTTTTATCCCCAATAGATAGCTAGAGGAGCTAAAAGCCCTTCCTGAGAGTCAAGAGGTTTTCCACTCTGCATTACTTTCTTTTTGTATGGAGTGGCACAAATTCTTCTGCTTTCGCTACCCATATATGTACATGTTTCTATAGGACGTACTTCAAATGGCCTTTTAGAGAAGTTATTCTAAAGCTGGTGCTGGGAGGATGGTTCCGTGCGCAGAAGTGGAAAACTTTTGACTGCCATTCACCTGGGAGTGGCCAGAAGCGATTCTTGTGCGTACGGTTCAAATCGCAGCTCACAACGTCCGGATATTTATATCCACGTATCCTCTGGGTAGCAACCAAACACCCGTTTGGGAGCGAGCTAAAGTGAGAAGGCGTAAAACTTCGCGTGCGCTGGGTTTGGGTCCCGCCACGTTAAAACCCCGCCCAATGAAAAGAAACAAACAGCCTCGGATGAGACCCCCTTTTTCTGATGACGACCACGGCAAACGTATAAAGGACTATGATTTAAGGGTATGCACCTGGAATATCCGGACCCTTAATGGGGAAGGTGCCTCTGCCCGGCTGGTTGATGTCCTCGGGAAGACAAAAGCTGACATCACCGCCATCCAAGAAATGCGATGGACGGGGCAAGGTAAAGTAAGCGTGAAGCCTTGCGACGTCTACTACAGTTGCCACGTAAAGGAGCGCAAATTCGGTGTTGGATTCGTGGTAGGAGAGAGACTCCGTCGCCGAGTACTGGCGTTCACCCCGGTGGACGAACGTCTAGCCACAATCCGCATCAAAGCTAGATTCTTCAACATCTCGCTCATCTGCGCCCATGCCCCGACGGAAGAGAAGGATGAGGCGTCCAAGGATCTCTTCTATGAGCGCTTGGAACGTACATATGAGCGCTGCCCCCGACACGATGTCAAAATCGTGCTTGGCGATTTTAATGCCAAGGTGGGCAAGGAAGGGATCTTTGGCGCCACTGTCGGAAAATTCAGCCTCCACGACGAAACGTCCGATAACGGACTGAGGCTGATCGACTTCGTCGGGGCCCGAAATATGGTAATATGTAGTACTAGGTTCCAGCATAAGAACATCCACCAAGCTACATGGCTGTCTCCAGATCGAAAAACGAGAAACCAAATCGATCATGTTGTGATAGACGGAAGGCATGCTTCAAGCGTTTTGGACGTACGTACACTCCGAGGGCCAAACATCGACTCGGACCACTATCTTGTTGTAGCCAAGATACGCACCCGCCTCTGTGCAGCAAAAAATGTGCGCCCAACAATGCAAGGAAAGCTTAACGTCGAAAAGCTGCAATCACAACAGACGGCCAATTTATTCGCCACTCGACTCACACACCTGCTCTCTGAGAGCACTCTTCAACAATCCGACGTACGCGAGCAGTGGAACCACATTTCCCGATCATTAAGTACCGCCGCCGAAGAAGTAGTTGGATTTCAGCGAGCCCGAAAGAACAACTGGTACGATGAGGAATGTCAAGAAGCCGCAGAGAAAAAAGATGCCGCCTACAGGGCCACGCTGCGATCGGGCGCAACGCGAGCCATGTGGGACCGTTATAGGGAACTGAAGAAGGAAGCGAGACGTATTTGCCGCAATAAGAAGAGAGAGGCCGAAATACGTGAGTGCGAAGAGCTTGAGATGCTGGCCGACAGGAAGAACGCCCGAAAATTCTACCAGAGGGTTAGGCGACTTACGGAAGGTTTCAAGACCGGGGCGAACTCCTGTAAGAACAACAATGGCGACCTAGTGACCGATGTCCAGAATATACTTAAATTGTGGAGGGAACACTTTTATAACCTACTGAATGGTAGCAGCGCTGAAAGTAGTGAGGAAGACGAACCCGAGTCCCCAGTCGATGATGATGGAGTAGCTGTCCCACCGCCTGACTATGACGAGGTACGTATAGCGATTACGCGGCTGAAAAACAACAAAGCTGCTGGAGCTGACGGCCTGCCAGCCGAGCTATTCAAGTACGGCGGCGAGGAGCTGATGAGGTGCATGCATCAGCTCGTATGCAGAATATGGTCAGATGAACGCATGCCCGACGACTGGAATTTAAGTGTGCTCTGCCCAATCCACAAGAAAGGCGACCCCGCCATACGCGCCAACTACCGCGGAATTAGCCTTCTAAGCATAGGTTACAAGGTTTTATCGAGCGTATTGTGCGAAAGACTGAAGCCCACCGTCAACGAGCTGATTGGACCTTATCAGTGTGGCTTTAGGCCTGGAAAATCCACCATAGATCAGGTATTCACAATACGCCAAATCTTGGAAAAGACCCGCGAGAATAGGATCGACACACACCATCTATTTGTCGATTTCAAAGCCGCTTTCGACAGCACGAAGAGAAGTTGCCTTTATGCCGCGATGTCTGAATTTGGTATCCCCGCGAAACTAATACGGCTGTGTAAAATGACGTTGAGCAATACCACCAGCTCCGTCAGAATAGGGAAGGACCTCTCCGAGCCGTTTGATACCAAACGAGGTTTCAGACAAGGGGACCCCCTTTCGTGTGATTTCTTTAATCTTATGTTGGAGAAGATAATAAGAGCCGCAGAACTGAACCGCTCAGGCACAATACTTTATAAGAGCGTACAATTGCTGGCGTATGCCGACGACATCGATATTATCGGTAAAAACAAGGGCTACGTCTGTTCTGCCTTCTCGGGATTGGATAGAGAAGCAAAGCGAATGGGTCTGGTGGTGAACGAGGACAAAACGAAGTATCTCCTGTCAGCACACAAACAGTCAGAGCATACGCGTCTTGGCACCCACGTCACTGTTGACAGTTACAAGTTTGAAAAAGTAGACGACTTCGTTTATTTGGGAACCAGCATTAACACCAATAATAATGTCAGCCTTGAAATCCAACGGAGAATCACTCTTGCCAACAAGTGCTACTTTGGGCTGAGTAGGCAATTGAGAAGTAAAGTCCTCTCTCGTCGTACAAAGATCACACTCTATAAGTCACTCATCATGCCTGTGCTGGTGTATGGCGCGGAAGCATGGACAATGAAAGCATCTGATGAGGCGGCTCTTGGAGTTTTCGAGAGAAAGATTCTGCGAAAGATTTACGGACCTTTACGCGTTGGTGATGGCGAATATCGCAGACGATTTAACGATGAGCTGTATGAGCTTTACAACGATATAGACATAGTGCAGCGAATTAAAATTCAGCGGCTCCGCTGGCTTGGCCATGTCGTTCGGATGGACAGAAACGCTCCTGCTCTGAAAATATTCAACGCGGGCCGCGATGCTGGGAACAGAGGAAGAGGAAGGCCTCCTCTGCGTTGGAAAGACCAGGTGGAGAAGGACTTGGCTTCACTTGGCATTTTCAATTGGCGTCAGTTAGCACAGAAGAGATATGACTGGCGTGCTGTTTTGGACTCGGCCAAAATCGCTTAGGCGGTTACAGCGCCAAATAAGAAGAAGAAGAAGGTGCTATAATTAGTAAAAATCATACTTCTTCAAGGTATTTATTCAAGGTTCATAACAAATATGTTTTATTCCAACTTAAAATACATATTTAATTTAATTTCTAATGCTACATAATATAAACTTATATATTCGCGTGAATCGTAAATAGGAAAGCCTTTATAGAAGGCACGCAGCAAAGCACTTATTTATGGGAAAGCTTTTTAGAATGGCATCACTTAAGAGAGCCTACCTAAATTATCTTCAGGGTCAACAACACTACTCAACAATTTTTGATCAACTATAACCACCAAGAATGACATATCCTGATTACGAATATTATAATGGTTTCTCTAGGTCAGACCTAGTTTTTGAGATATGGGTGAAAATATGAAAAAAACCCATAGATGCGACACAACACCACATATGTGCATCGAAAAGTTGTATTTGTCATCCTATCGGTTTTATATCTGAGAGAGTTTTGTAAAGGAGGCTCAAACAAAAGTTGTTTGCCTTCATAGTCATAAATCACGCAACTGGTTTGGTCACTATAGAAAAAAACACATAGAAATTCGACTTTTTTTATCAAGTTACAGATTCGACTGCCTTGAAATCGGAAAAAGTGTTCGGACGAAAAAAAGTTAGCCCCCCTATGCTGAAGAGAATTCTATTACAAATATGTTGAGCCTACTAACGAAGCTGTATGATGTATTTTCGTTTTTAAAGGCCTAGCTTTACAAAAATTCCATAGATTAAAATTTTCTTACAAATAAGACTTTTGAGTAAAAATTAAAACAAATTGTTGTAAATTAATTTTTTTTTAAATTTTATTAAAAAGCAGTGTTTAACATTATTTTGTACATTCTTTACACCTGTATGTAGAATCACAAAGTATTAAGTGATATGAGAGAATCATAGCTGGTTTAATTAAAAAAAAGCTTTGCAAATGCGTTTGATAAGGAGGCTATTTTAATATTGTAATTCACGAAATTTACTCTACAAATCATTAGGTGAATTCAAGATAAGAGAGACGAACAGGGTGAAAGATTTAATGCCCGTGAGCAAATAATAATATTGGGCGATTTTAGCGTTATTAAGGCCTGTCTCCGCAGGCAAAAGCTTTTGCATACCAAATGTCATTTTTATTGCCCGATATAAATTTTCGCAGTGGCAATATTTGTGCGTGGCCATTTAATAATAATAATAACAGATTGGCGCTTACACATATGTTAGTGTTTGGCCGAGCTTCTCCTCCGACTTGTGGCGTGCGCCTTGATTTTGTCACACAAAGCGGAGGGACCTACAGTTTTACGCCGACTCCGAACGGCGATTGTATTTTTGAGAAGCTGTTTTTCATGCCAGAAACCCACTCGGAGGTTTGCCATTTCCTGCCGAGGGACGACCGCTGTTAAGAAAAAACCTTTTTTCTATATTTTTTCGCGATGTTGCTTTGACCAGGGTTTGAACCCAGGTGCT